CAGCGGCATCAGCAGGAGCAGCGGCCACAGCAGCCAACAACCATCATCTGGCGAACCGCAACAACGGCAGCAATGCCCTACAATGGTTATATCCATGCGATATCCAAGTGGATCCGACCTCACCAGTCATTGATATGTCAAATTTGAAGGACTTTGAGGTCAGTTCCACCACTGAGAGTCAAGGTCAGTACACCACCACGACCCAAAACAAGGGAGATTCTTGCAACAGCTTCGAATATCAGGATCGTTTGGCTTTGGCACAAAGTCAGAAGGCGGCAAACATGTCCCAGGCAACATCGGGCAGCAGTGGCAACCAAAATGTCACCAAGTCACCATTTGAGAGGGAATTGCAAAGACTGCTAAATGAATCGTCGAGAGCAAGGGGATTGACAACAAATCACAATTCGGCTGCTGCCACAGCATCGTCATCAACTGGTGGCAATATCACCTCCGGTTCTATGGGCAATGTTGAGGGTGGCAACACCACCAGCAATAGCAGCAGTCGCAACAACATTGACATCAGTTATTCGGGCAGCAACAGTAAATTAAGTTCCAATGGGTTGAATGTGGCCGCCGGTATTGGAGGCAGCGGTAGTCTGGGTAGCAACGGCAACTTGAGTGGCAGCACACCGCTCAGTGGCAACAACAATCTGAAGAACGTAACCACCGCCATGGCAGTTACAATGCTGGAAGAGCTCAACTCACCGACCAGTGGACAGAGGCAGGGTTCCAAGATACCTGTTAGTACAAGCTTTATGATTGCCAAACATCCTGTGGGTCTAGAGGCTATAAAGGAAATAACCCGCAATAAGAATCCCTCAGAATCCAGTCAAATGTAAGTAGCCGAAAACTAGAAACTAATTATTTGAGTATTTGCAGGAACTGATCTGCTCCTCTTCTTCCACTCCCCCATTGTTATAGGCAAACATCGGATACCGAATCCTGTGAAATTTTGCATGAGACTCGCAACCAATTAAATCTGGCCATGATGGATCACCATCACAATAACAGCATGACCAACAAATCGTCGACCTCAACCAATGGTACAAACTACAATAATTTTCCTCAGCAAATGACAGCGCCACCATCGCAGGGCCACCACCTGCAACAGTCATCGTCGCAGGCATCTACCAAAGAACACAATCATCGTCACAGAGTGCGGCCACGTTCCAAAGAATACGATCAAAGTCACGAGAGTCTCGATCAGTTGCAGGAGTCGGGTGAATCGAAATCGAATGGTCGTTATAATCGGCATCATCATCATCACCACCATCATCATCATCACAATCATAATTCGCATCATACACGTCCCACCCGCAATACGCATCATCATTTGGTCAACAATCACGATCAGGATGATGAACGCGATGATACCGAAGATAATTTGGCCGATGAAGAATTCGAAGATGATGAAGTGGGTCGTGATGTGCGCAAGAAACGTCTAATGCCACCGACGGAATTGGTAAATCATTATCGCAGTGATGATGACGAGGATGATGATCATATTCGTGGTGGACAGCAGTTGGAGGAAGATGATGACGACGAGGACGACGATGAGGATGATCATGAATGTGGTCCTGAAGAGGCATTAGTTGGTGGTGGCGGTCATGGGGATACAGGTCTATTAAATGGTGGTGGTGGTGCTGGCCCGAGCGGTAGTTATCACGATCACCGTTTGGATTCACTGGAAACGAATGTGATAAATGATGAGCTCAAATATGGTGCCGGTCATCATAATCATCAATCGATGGACTCAAATCATTTGGAAAGTCAATCGGAATGGTCAGATGATGATTGTCGTGAGGAGGCGACAGGTGAGTTAGGGTTTCAGGGACTATTAAGGAAAACTTTGGACTACCATTTGCACCCTTTATCACTAGGCTCACCTCTTATTGAGGTTTCCATGCATTTTTTTCCAAACGACTTCTCTTCAGAATATCTCATCCGTTTACATTGTACCTTAATAAGTAATGAGATACTGAACTTTGTTGCATTACTTGGACGCTACACAAAAATTCTGTTATTCTATAAATCTTCCGAAAAATTGTCTTGAAGATTTTTTTTCGGAAAACGCGAAATCAAAATCGTTTCCTAAGTGGGAGCATTCTCCTTGTTTTTATGGAAATTTATCCGCTTCTGAGAGATGATTTGAAAGATTTGACAGCCATTGAAAACCCAAAATATCAAATTAGAGCCAATTTGGTTGGGTATTTTTTATGTTCCTAAGGACCCATATTACCAAAATAATTAAACCTTATCCCCTCAAACTTGTGCTCCAGCAAATTATAAAACACATTCGTTCACAATTTGTCTTACAGGCGGTGCTGAATCCACTGGCTATATAACCGATGAACCCGGTCTAGAAAATATCTCTCTACTTAATGAGGCTGGTCTAACCGATGCCGAAGGTGCTTTATCCGATGTCAATTCTTTATATAATGCTCCCGATGTTGATGATACATCGGTATCGTCGCGTGCCAGTTCAAGACTCCTTAGTTTAGATTCTCTCAGTGGTCTGTATGATTGTGATATGGATTCGAAACATGAAATGGCTATTGTTAATGTCTCCAATAAGATAACTAGTAAATTTGGACCACCACAGCAGCAGCAACAACAACAACAGCAGCAACATCAACAGCAATCACAAAATCATCATCACACACATCCATCACACCAGCAGCAGCAACAACAACAAAGTTAATTAAAATCAAGGAAACTTAATATTATTAATGCATATGTATGTATATTGTACAACAACAACAAACTACCGCCTATATAGTAAATACAACAAACATTGGCGTATTATTATTATTATTCTTATAGATGATATCAACAACATTGCGCGATTAATGTAGTAACTAAAAACTCCAAATAACATTTTTTTAGAATATATTTTTCCTATTTTTCGAAATTTATTAGATTTAGGTGAATAATAACCGTATCGGAAATTGAAACTCCAGTAATATGATTACATGTTTCCTTAGGAGGGGGTTGATGCTTTAAATTTTTTGGAGGGATTTGGAAAAGAAATAGTTGGAGAGAGTACCGTTATGTTGGGCGCCACTGAATATTAATCTGCATAAATGGCCATTTTTGAAACTACTTTTTATTCACTTATTTACGAAATTTTTAAAACAAAAAATTTTGCCACTTAAATTCCTCTATAGTTTTTCGTTGGGCGCCACAGATATATGTAACTTTTTGGAGGAATTTTAAAAATAAATAATTAAAGGGAGTTAGTCAAAATTAAATATTCTTTACAAATTCCAAATTTCTCAGATATTACGTTGGGCGCCACAAAATAATAACAGAATATTAACTTTTTCAAATTTAAATATGGAATATTCCTTACAAATTCCAAATTTCTCAGACATTACGTTGGGCGCCACAGAATATTAACTTTAATGACTTGCGATTTTAAAATATTAAATTTTTATAACTAAAATGTCTTCAAGACTTTTTCATTGAACGCCACAAAATTGTATCATTAAAATATAAGTCCAATAAAATGCTCATAAATCCGGAAGTCTCTGGAGAAAAATCGTTTCGATGCAAACAGGACTGACATTTCTATGTGCAATCATTGTTCCGCTAAGTACTGCAAAATGTCATTAAGATCTTTATCTCCCGGAACAGTATTCGCATAAGGTATTTCATGTTGTAATACGGATTTTTGTATAATTTTTATTGCAAAGCCTCGAGATTTTTTTTTTTTTTTGTAATACAATCGAAATCGTTTATAACGACACCATTTATAACAACATATCGGTTATAATGACCTATCCAAGAGTTCCCAGGAAAGTTCTACCCATTATTTGATATCGTTTATAACGACATATCGTTTATAGCGATCCATTTCGCAGGTTCTTCTTCGCCATTGTTATAAGCGATTTCGACTGTGTAACAAATTAAATTTTCAACGTTAACTTCTCATAGCATCCGAATTTAATTAATTCATCCCTATTCGTTAAACGGTAAAGATCGTTACTGTGAAATTCGTTGGGCGCCACACATAGTCATCATGATTTTTCAGAAATCAAATATTCCGTAAAACCTTAAACAGCAATATTTCAATATTTGCATTTATACATTTGGTCATATATTGGACACCAAAACTCATTGGGCGCCACCTGGCAAATTTTTTAACGTAATATAACAAATTAAATTTCAATATAAAACTTCTGATATCACCCAAATATCAAAGAGTCCAAATAAATGTCATTTATAACCCCCTTTGAATTCATAGATTAGGTTATTTGTTGTGCGACAAAAATCGTTGGGCGCCAAATAGGGATTTTAACGCTGATGGTGTACTTCAGCTTCTGACATTATTATTATTTAAGGTCTATGATGTCGTTGAACGCCAAAAAATGTTGGGCGCCTAAAATTGTCAACTAAATTTTTCATATATGAAATATTCACTACAATCAACATTGTTTTGAAAATAATTGTCCTGCATATGCGGTTTGGAAGTAATATATGAGGGTTTTTATTGGACACCAAAAACGTTGGGCGCCAGCTGGGGATCTTACGCTGATGAAACAAATTTCTGCCGTGAACTTCTAATACCTATAAATTTATACATTCGGTTAATTGTATGGCCACGTTGGGCGCCATTAGGGTATTTTATTGCAGATATAAAATATTAAATTTCCTACCAAAACTTCTGACAGCGTTCGAATTTATTGTCCATAATATATGTTTCTATAGCGGTTGCCATTAAACAGAAAATCTTTAATGTGTAATTTGTTGGGCGCCACAAATAACCATCACACGTTTTTAGATATCAAACAAATATTCTCTTAAACCTTAGTCGACAATATTTCACAATAACTGCTTTATATATCCTTTTTTTTGGATTCCGTGTTGGGCGGCAAAGTAGTATAAAAAATACTTTATATAACGATTTGTTTTAAATATTTAATGATTTTATTGTTTATGGTGGCTTCAATTTGTTTTCCTTCTCCAATTATTTTGTTTTAAATCCTACAAAAAATATTTGGCTTCAACACCTTTCCAAAGGAAACAAAAATTTGAAAAAGGTGTCTATTAAAAATATATGAATACAAATAATATAAAAACAAATTAAAATTTTCAAATTTCTTAATGTGTATGTGTTAAAAAAAGTAAATATACAAAAAAACACACAATAAGAAAAAAATAAAGTATTTTTTGATAGCAGTATATATATATGTATACAAACACTGACTCTATTATATATGTATGTACATTTAACTAGTATATAAACAGTCATTGAGTAAAAAAACAAAAATGATTTGAGAGTAAAAGGTATTTTTTTAAGTTCAACAAAAAATATATATAAAAACCAACTATGATTCTAAAGGAAAAACGTAAACAAGAAAAAATATATATTAAGAAAGGAAAAATGAATAACTTAATTAGTTTTAGTTGCAACTCGTATTAAAAATTAAAAAAAAAATTAAACAAAAAATTGGAAGACTCTTAAGGGCAAAAAAGGAAGAAAATTATCAAATTAATTATTGAAACCCCTAATCTATAAATTATTGTAATTATTAAACAAACAAAAAAAAACCAACCAACTGAAGGTAATGCTTTAACTAAACTGTTAAAAAAAAGAAACAAAAACAAACTTAAGAAACAAAATTTAACTCTTTAAGAAAAACAACTTGTCAAATGTCATTAAACAAAATGCCAAAACTAAAGCTTATATATGAGATATTAAAAATCGAATACACACAAAAATAGTTTATCATATTTTTTATTTTTGTTTTTTTTTTCATTAACATTTCACACAGTGACTCAAAATAAAAAATATTTAGGAAGGACATTTTGAAATAAATATGGAATATAATATTTTTCATCAAATAATCGAAACAAAAATTTATACAGAATACAATTTGTTCAGATTTAAAGGGCAATTCCTCAGAAAAACACATATTCTTTCTGAGTAAAATTGAATAACTCCGTAGACTAATTATTCAAAAAAAGGACGTTAAGGTGATTAACTATTTTTTTAAATATAATTTTTGGGAAATTAACCAATTACTTTTCTGTGGTTGCTTTCATTATAAAAACATGCTATATAAATACCCATTTCAATAGTTTCCATAAAATGAGTTGATTTTTTTTCAATTACTATTTTAACACTACATTGCCGAAGGCAGTCATTTTGACCGCTTTTCAATTTCAAGTACAAAAACAACTGTGCATATAAATAAAGGTTTTGGTATTAATAACCGTAAAAAAAAACAAAATTATTTTTTGTGTTTTTTTTTTGTAGCTTCTGCTACCTCTTTATTCGAGTTCAATTCTTTGACTAAATTACAATAATACAATTTTGGTATATTAAAAGTTAAAAAGTGTTGGCTAAGCGTTTCTTGTTTTCTTTGCACCCGAAAAATAATTATTGATTGATTTCGGTTGGGAAAAAAATTAATGATTTTGCAAATTTTGGGTCAACGACAGAAGCGTGTTTACAAATGTGATATTTCTTAATAATCTAAAAAAATGCTAAAGAAGCAAGTGCAATGAAAAGTGTGTTATTTATGAAAAGTAATCATTTTTTAAATTAGGACGCGGTTGGTATATAATTGCTAAAGAAGCAAGTGCAAGAAAAACAGGAAACGCGTGTTATTTATGAAAGGTAATCATTTTTTAAATTAGGACGCGGTGGGGTGATATCGTAACCCCCTCTCGGTTAGATTGAGGCTCCGACGAAATTTGAGAATGGTTGCCTTTCTTTTGCAAAATATAGGTATTACAATTAATAAGATTATTAAAATTAATAATGTAGTGCTATTTGATGCTATATTATATATTCTATTTATCTGTTGAGTTTTGCTAAAATCATCTTCGTACTTTATTTGTTTTATATATAGATCTTCCAAATTTAATTCATTATATGTTCCATTTTCTTTTACTTGTTTTAGGAGAGAAGTTTGTATTATTTTACCCTGAATTGTAATTGATAGTTTGGAATTTCTTTTTCCTTTTTATATGAGACTTATAATATTTATGGTTTCGATCTGTTATTACATGATCGCCATCTAATTCAGTTACGGTCACTTTTAGAAATTTGGAATGATTTTTTCCGCCTCTTTCGTCTTTTAGATATATTGGTCCTGTCTGGATTTCTACATTCTCACGGGTTTCGTTTAATTTATTTATGGTCCTTTCTTTTGTCTTTATTATTTTTTCTTTAATTAAGGGATACTCATCCTGACTTATTTTTCCGTTTTTGAAATCTATTGGTTTTTTTATCAGTTGTCGAATGTATCGTATTGTTATAATACATTATTATTCTATACATTTTTTCTTCGACGCTTTCAGTGTCTTTGTTAGGGTCATGTTTTAAAAGTCTATGTTCATTTATTGTATTGTGGAGTCTTTAGACATCCGCATTTGAGGTATGATTATTGTTTGAGGTATAGTGTATATTGATTTCCTGTTCTCTTAAAAATTCCCGAGGGGGCAGCGCTTTAAACCATAATTCGTTGTCCATAATCAATTTTTTTATACTTCCAACGGTTGAGAGATATTGTGTCAGCGCTTTTATTCTTATAGCCTGAGCGTGTTTTGAGAATTTATCAAGAAATGTTAGAAATAGTGTTTTTTCTAGACTATAAAAGACGTCTGCATGGATGATTTCTCCGGGTTCGTCAGGTGTTTCAGTAATTTTGTATTGGTGTTTAACAGGGTTT